GAAATCCAACTCTCAAACTTTATATATAAAGATTGGCTTCGGTAACTATTCAGGAATTGTTTTATTTTTAAAACCAAAATACAACTCGAATTAAGACCAGTGGCGGAGCCAAAGAGGAGCAATTGATTGCAATTGCAGTCACTCCAATTTTTATTTTTTAATATATATGTATATATATATATATATATATAAAGAGAGAGAGAGAGAAGGAGAGAGAGAGAGTAGAGCGGAGGCAGAGCAGTGGGGGGCAGAGGCTGTATAGTGGAGACATCAATTGATAATATGAGTTTTTCTCTACTAATTTTGTGTTATTTCTAATATTTTTTGTTTTTTTATTAAATTAATATGAGTACATAATATTTCTTAAAATACTTACATTTAAATTATATGAATGTTAGCTTGACATAAAATTCATTAATTTTTTATTGTTTTATACTTCGTGTTATCTTTATAAATAAATATTCGGGGCACGACTCACGAGCTCTCGGTATAGCGCACCCACTACCCCTAAATCCTGGCTCCGCCACTGATTAAGACATAACGTCATTCAATGAAAACAGATTCCAACAAAAAGTTTGTCAAAAAAATTCAACAGAATTAAAACCATTCAGTTCAATTCCACCATTCAAAAACTTCCACTATTGAAGGTCTCTTGACAAATGTGACGAGTTTACAACTTCCAGCAACTTCCAAAGTGATATAAATCAATATAAAATTTACAATCACTTTCAAACAATTATCGACGTTTTCTGGGATTAGCTAGATATTATCAACGTTTCGTTGAAGGCTTTTCCTCGATTGCAACTCCACTAAACAAACATCTAAGGAAGGATGTAAAATTCGCATGGCCTGATGCATGCCAGCAAAGTTTCAAAAAACTCAAGAAATGTTTGACAAAAGCGCATGTACTGACACAACAAGTACCAGTTGTAGACTACACAATCTTTAGTGACGCATCTCATAATGGCTTGGGATGTGTACTCATGCAAGAAGGTCAAGGCAGATGAAGTCCCATGAATCTAACTACCCCACCCATGATCTCGAGTTAGCAGCAGTCATATTTGCTCTGAAGATATGGCATCATTATCTCTTTAGAGAGACGACATATATTCACGCAGACAAAAAAAGTCTTAAATACCTGTTGACTTAGAAGGAGTTGAACCCGAGACAAAGAAGATGGTTTTAACTGATCAAGGACTATGATTATTATATCGATTATCACCCTGGTAAGGCTAAAATAGTTGTCGACGCGTTAAGTCGGAAGATGGTAGTCGAACTCTGAATCCATCCAACTCTCGAGAACGAGATTCATACCCCACAAAGAGGTGACGAATACTATTTGAAGACTTGCGAACTTTTCTCTAAGGGGGAGAGACAAGACTTCACTGTGAATGATGGAATTTTGTTTTATCGGAATCGTTTGGTACTTCCTACTGGCAAAGTGAGAGAATGTTTAATGCATGAATCTCACAAAACCACGTATACCATGCATCCCGGCAGTAATAAAATACTCCAAGATCTGAAAAAGACGTAATGGTGGCCCACGATGAAACGTGAAATTCCGAAATTTACTACCCGATGTCTGACATGTCAACAAGTCAAAGCTGAACATCAAGTGCAAAGTGGGGATTATTGCATCCGCCTACCATTCCTGAATGGAATTGGGAACGAATTACGATGGACTTCATGATTGGTCTTCCATTTTCAGTTAAGAAGAATGATGCTGTTTGGGTTATCATCGACCGGTTAACCAAGCCATCTCATTTCATACCGATTCAACGTGATACATCATTGAAAAAGTTGGCAGAATTGTACATATGAGAGATCATAAGATTGCATGGTGTGCCTTTGTCTATCATCTCTGATCGTGGCCCTTGGTTCATGTCACAATTCTGGAAAAGTTTGCAGAAAGCGCTAGGAACTAAACTCAAGTTTAGTACACCATTTCACCCTCAAACAGACGGACAATCTGAAAGAACAATCCAAATCTTAGAAGATATGATGAGGGCATGTGTGATCGATTTTGGAAGCAACTGGGAACAATACCTACTAGTAATGCGGTTTGCTTATAACAATAGTTATCAAGCGAGTATCCAAATGGCCCCGTACGAAGCCCAGTATGGGAGACGTTGTAGAACTCCAGTATGCTGGACCGAGTTAATTTAAGCGAAAAAAAGCTTGGACGACCCGATCTCATCCGAGAAACTGAAGAAAAAGTTTGTCTGATCAGAGAGAGACTACTAGTGGCTTCTTATCAACAAAAATCTTATGCTGATTTGAAACGTCGTGAGATTAAATACAATGTGGATGAAATGGTATTTCTAAAAGTCTCGCCATGGAAGAAAATGCTACAATTTGGTAGGAAGGGAAAACTAAGCCCAAGGTATAATGGACCCTATCGAATCACTGAATGTGTGGGACTAGTAGCCTATCGGTTAGAACTTCCACTAGAACTGAACAAAATTAATGATGTATTCCATGTGTCAGTGCTAAAACGATACTGTTCTAATCCATCACATATTCTGACCGATGGAACTGTAACCCTCGATGAAAGTTTGACCTATGAAGAAGAACCTGTCCAAATTTTGTCACAAGAAGTCAAGGAACTAAGAATACAATGGAGGAATCAGTCGAGTTAAGAAGCGACTTGGGAAATTGAAGAGTCAATGAGAACACAATACCCAAAACTCTTCAACCAATGACTCATGTAATTTCAAGGATGAAATTCTTTAAGGGGGAGAGAAATGTAACGCCCCGAAAATAGGTCTATCAAAATTAATTAATTAATATTTAATTAATTATTGAGAATGACCCAAAAATAAGTGACTTATAAAGTTTGTCTAAAAGTAATGAAAATTATATCGTTGTGTAAGGTTTGACTGTCTGACCGCAACGGCTCAATCAGATTTCAATTTGGAGAAAGCTGGACAAAAAGTGTACCCAACTGGGACAAAAATTATTCCCAATCAGGGATAATGTATAAAACCCAGAAGTGGCGCTGCTCCTTCTAATAACGTGAAATCGCCAAATAGTTACACGGACTCTAATAGCTGTTTCCTCCAAACTTTTCTATATAAGAGTAACCAATACCCTTCAATTCTTCACCATTTTTCACAATTCTTCATTCTATTCTGTTGCTCTAAGTGAGGAGAACAAAGTGGTGCTGTCAATTTGGTGAGAGGTCGCTGGGGTTGGGAGTTATCATCGCCGGAAGTTTCGCCGAAAAATTCTCAAAACCTTCATTTCAGCCCGAGGTAAGCCCTTTGATATATCTAATGATTATAATTTTTGTATGGATCGTTTCTACATTCATAAACGGTCGTTTGACTGAGTTTTGTATTTGACATGTTTGAAGAACCAAGAATCCTAAACCTTGAAATTATTGTTAAAACTACGAACTAATGTTATCAAAATGATCTATGAACCTTAGAGAAAATTTTTATATAGTACAATTGAAGTTTGGTAAATAAAAATGACATTTCCAAAAATTGGCCCAAGTTGAAGATAACATTGTTCGAAACTACGCGTATAACGGTACCCAGCTACCGTCCGGATGGTACCTTTGTATCGGCGGCGCGATAGGCTAGCTACCGTCTTCTAATGCCAAACGGTACCTGTACCATCTGGGCAGTACCAAGGTACCGTGCATCGGTACCCAGTTACTGTGAAGGGTACCGTCTGAACCGAGAAGTTTTAGAAACTTGATTTTTTTAAAATATTAAATCATATTTTTGATATCAACCAATTATAACCAATATGGAAATGATTTCTGGAAGTAAATAAATATGATGTTTTGATAAATCCAAGAATCTTGTTGATGCATGACGTAAGCTAGGGTGTTAACACTCGATGCTAGGCCTCTAATTATTATTGGACATTATGATGATTATTATTGACTCATGATTATGATGGTTAAACTTTGATGAATATTCTGATTAAAATGACAATTGTGAATATTTGATTAAAAATGAATATATTGATGATAATGAAAATCATGTGTATTGTTAACGGTATCTAGAAGAACTATAAGATATACCCATCTAGATAATTGATGTTGATTATAAAGAATATCTAGAAGAACTCTAAGATATACCTATATGACCAATTCTGAAATTTGGGGTTAAAACGTATGTACGAGATCCAAACCAAACTCAAAGATCACTCGTTTGGGGATATCACTCACCCGATAGTTCCCTGTTCGGTTGGTACGTGATCCATAAGACTCATAGGATGGATCATCGATTCTTGTGTTCAGCCTTAAACTATTTATAGTTTAAGAGACCGATTAGAAATATTGTCTTAGACTAAGAATAGTGTAAGAGTTTTGTTATCAAAATGATTTGGCCTTAGATTAAGAATAATTTAAGAGCATTGTTAAAATACTTAATATGGAATATTGTATATGACATGAAATGACTCGAATTAAAACATTGTGAATATCATGAACGATGAATGCTTGAATTGGATATTATGTGCATGATATTAAATGATTTGATTATGAATTGAGATTCAATTTATATGGATATTCGATGCATTAGATATCCTTACTAAGCTTCAACACTGAGTATGTAGTATGTTTTAATTTATTTGCTATATGGAGTTAAAAAAAAGAATGAAGTGATGAATTCCTGGAGGCAGATGGGGCGAGATGGTCGGAATGGATGTGTGCATTTGAATTACTATTCTAAATGACATAAAATTATTACGTTTGTAATTGTGATTTATTAAGCTTCCGCAACTTGAAATACTCGTTACTATTCTGAATAATTTATCATGAAATAAATTTTAAAATGTTTGAAATATTTTGAATGTTTACGAATACCAAGTTTATACTTTAGTGCGAAAGGGGCTGCAGACCTGAACGGATTAGCATGTTACAATCGTCGTGGTGGAATTGGTAGTGGTAGTGAAAGAAGAAGTGTTTCAAATACATGTAATGTACAACGCACTACTGTGATGTCTCCTGCACGGATGTTAGTGTTCACTTTTCTGAACTTATTGAATTGGATCTAAATTTATTAAGACTGATTTGAGATGATCTTGTCTGATTTAATTGTAATGTAATTTAAAGTTATTACAGATCTAATTAGAATCTTTAAAAATAAGTAATAAATAGAAAAAAATGTTTGAAGACAACAAAGTCTCACAAGTATAAAGTAGCCCAGCATTGGAGATCGAACAATTAATCTGAGTGGGTAGCGTTGCTCAAAAGTTCAGCATATTTTAGTTTGGAAACACTCTCTAATATTTCAAAAGGAATAATGTCTCCGATTACTACCACCGTCTTCGTTTCCAAGTTCACTTGGTAGGAGGTCACACCTATACATAACAATAAGATAAGAAATTAAAATAAAGAATAATTCAATAGTTGGTCCTTTTTAATAGGAGCTTTTCGTTATTTAATCCTCAATTTTCAAATATTACGCCTGTGGTCGTTTTATGTGAATCTTTCCACATATAGTCTTTATTGATCTTCTATCATATTGATGTTAATTTGAGGGTTAAAGTTGTAATTTCACAATGATCATATATCTTTCTCGAAATAAATAATGCAAGATATCGCGCTCTTGATGCGTCGTTTGTAAATCATAGTCGCTTTCTACTTCACCATAGTCTACAAATGTGATGTTTCGTAAGAATCTTAGTTCACAGTTGTAGTCATTATTATTGTGTTGTACGTCTAATCGACATCAGAACACGTCACTGGACACAGGGTTGATGTCAAATTACATTTTTAGCCCTTAAATTAACACCAACATGACAGTAGATCGAAAAAGGACTATTCGTGAAAAGGTACTAATAAAAGAAAGATCATGGATGTAATATTTGATAATAGAGAACTAAATATGGAAAATCCCTTGTTATAAAGGACCGATTATAGAATTTACTCTAAAATAAATTTACAGCAAAATATCATTTGAAAATGAAATACTCCATCCCTTCCATGTTAAATGACACATTGTTGAAGTTCTCAAATCGAAAAACGTAATAAAATAATACCATTAGCATATTTTGAAGAGTGAAACTTTTTCTATTAGTTTAAACTTTTTGGTTGATAGTAGATCGTGACTATATATGCAAGTGGTTATATTGGAACTTCAATGGGATAAGTGAACTGGATGGAGTGTCGGGTGAAATTTGACCACTTTTCTATATTATGTCTGTATCCTCTTTCTAACCAAAAGTGTAAGCCAATGGGTAATGCTTCACTTTTCAACACTTCCCCTCAAGTGGTAACTAGTCTGATTTAGTTATTATTTGGTTGAATGAATAGGTCTAGCAATCTCATTCTCTTTATACCGAGCCTGTTGAATACCAAAAAGAATTAAACCCGAATCAAACATTGGCTCTGATACCATGTTGGAACTTTGGAGGGCTGAGTGAATTGAGATGGAGTGTCAGGTGAGATTTGACCACATTTCTATATAAATTCAGAATCCACTTTCTAACCAAAAGCTTAAGCCAATGGGTAGTGCTTCACCTTTCTTTATATAAGAGAGGTAATTTTAATATTCATCTAGCTCACGGATATTTTTACAAAAGCTTTGTCGAAACCTATTTTTGATTTTTTATTTTACAAGTTGGGCATTCATGACCTCATGCACTAAAACTTCAGGAGGAATGTTAACATGTATTTCATGTAAATAGATTTAGTATGTATTTTGGGCTTGATATTAAGCCCACTCGTGTACTTTTATATATACCAAATGATGATTAATAACCGTGTATGCCAAATTTCTACATTCACTTTATTTGTTTATTTTCACTACTTATTTTACAATATAAAATAGTCATGCCCCATCTTCTTTTGAAATTTCTTATGTATCTTTTAAATATATAAATTTATTTTTGAATTTTACTGCTACAACCAAATTAATTAAATTGAAAATAAAATTGATCCAGCCTCGTAAATCAAAATGAAGAATTCAATTGCGGACAGAAGGAGTAATAAATTGGCAAGAGAAATATCTACATATTATTAAAACATGTTCCATATATCAAAATAAAACTTTTAATATAATGTTGTTTTCCAAAATAAAATTTATAATATCAAAGTGTTAATATTAAATGTGAAGTTAAACATCGTGAAACAATGCCAAAATAAAGAATGACATTGTACAATACAATCCTCTTATTTAGGCAATAAAAATAAAGAATTTCCTTTTTTTTTTATAAAAGTTCAATATGGTCCTATATTGAGAATTATCTATTAGTTGAATAATGACTAATAGATAATGACCAATGGTCCTACATTGGGAAATAAAAATATATGGTCCTATATTGAGAAAGTCATTATATTTTAGTCCTATTTAGGTAAATTACCCTTAGTTCTAATTCTATTTAGATATATTATTTTAATTAATACATTTTTATAATTTGATAAGTCGATTAATGCTCCATAATTAATAGGATAAAATAATAAGTGGTTTTGATTAAAAGAGAAAGTTTTTTTAGGCGTAGAAAAAGAGAGAACATTTTTTTGTGGGAAATTAAACATGACGCAATAAAACATGAGTTTAACATACCCTCCATCTTGGATATATGTTTCTCCACTTTCTTGGCGCAACCATAGCAGTGCATGGAGACCCTTAGAACCACCATCTAAATTTTTACAAATAAAAAAAACCATTATAACTTTCTTGCATGCCTTTCTAGGTATCAATTTATTTAAAAATTAGTATAAATTTAAAAGTAAAATTATATATGCACAAACCATATCAAATGATATATATTCTACCTCCGTCCCAGAAAAACTTTCATATTTTAACTTTTTTTGTCAAACTATGACATTCTTTAACCACAGACTCAAAAAAATATATTTAGTTGTAGTGTAAATCGAATATATAATTGAGTTTATTTTAGGATATATTTTTAACTTTTGATATATCAAATTTATAACATGCATTTATTTAAATTTTACTCCATATTTAATTTATAGTAAAAAACAGTGCTAGAATTTGACAAAAAATATTGAAAACATGAAGATTTTTCTCCGAGGGAGTACAAAACAATAGATATATGATTATGTTTTTTAATCATGTGAGTAAAAGGATGTTGAGATTATTAATACCTAGACTTAATCATAACTAATCATCCACATGTCAATAAAATAGTGGTTGAGCATCCATGTCTTCTAAAATGAAAAGGAATGGGAATAAATCCCTTAAATGAAAAGCCCTTTTAGTAACTCATCCATCTAATTAAATAACTGAAACTGCACGTATATATATATATGCTCATATAAAAAAAACAGAGTTTAATTAAGAAATATTTGTACTAAATAGCTTAAATAGTTTTATTCCCTAAATAGCACTTAATAATGTTCATAATGACCAGTGATGACAAACATTTACTTGAATAATGACTAATGCATAATGACTAAAAGTGCTACATTGGGAAAAAAAGTATATGCAGTGCTATTTAGGAAAAGTCATTATGTTTTAGTGTTATTTACGTAAATTCCTCTTTAATTAATTACCTTAGGCTTGAGCTGAAAAGCCAAGGTTGGAGGTCCAGAAATGAGATCTTTCAACATATGAGCACGTTTGTCATCCTTGGGATCCGCATCGTCGTCGTCCCTGCAGAGTGGCCTTTTCTCAATTTCGTCGTCCAAGGTAACTTCACTTTCAAAGCCGCCATTACTATTGCTGCAAAAACAACACCCTGCTGATGAAGACAGACATAAACTGTCTAACACCTTACCAAAACTAAATTTCCCCATTCTATATATAAAAGGAAGTGTGACCAATAATAATCTGTGTAGGGGCTATATAGCTAGACACTTAGCTTGTTCAACAATTGCATGTGTGGATTTTGTTTTGGAGCAATAATTAATAGAAATAGGTACGTGCAGTGGTTTGTGGTAACGTACGTGTAGCTAGGCATCATGGATGTGTTTCTTTCCTGTGATCATCATTTTTTTTTGTTGTTGTATATATGCATGTGGGAGAAGTGTGAAACAGCAGACAATCCATTACTCGCAAGTCAATCAATGCGAATTATTATATATGTTCCATTTCTAAATTCAATTCCTAAATTATTGCTCATACATACATACTCACGATAGATTTTAAATTAATTAAGTTGAAAAACCCCTGGTTGAGATTATATTCATTTGTGAATTAAAAAAAAACAAAGAGTAATGTCAAATTTGATAACACTCGGTAATTGATTTTATTGAATAGTAACGAGGGCTCCACCAATATATATGCATAAATTTTCTAACTAAAGTAAGAATACACAATATGGAAAATATGGGAAGTTATAATATGTCTCCTATATTATCCCCCTTGAAGCTGAAGGTGATCAACGGTAAGTAATGAGAGACAACTTGGAGCACAAGTAGTGAAACGAAATTGACGGAAGGAATTTCGTGAGAATATCTGCTCCTTGCTATTCAGTAGAAGGAACAAGGTGTGTGGTTATAATGCCAAGCATGAGTATTTCCTCCAAGCACAAAATGACAATCAGAACCAAATTGCTTCATCTGGGCATGCGAAACTGGATTCTTAGTAAGACAAATGGTGGACTCACTGTTGTAGTATAAATCTAAGGTTTGGAGGGAGGAATACCGAGATCATTAGCAATACTATAGCATAAGCACATGGCATCTACTACGCCAGCTGCCATTATATGGCTGGTCTCGATCAATTGAAGATTGAGAAATATAAGTCTGCTTTTTTGTAAAGCAATAGATGAGATTTGGACCAAACATGAGAAGGTAGTAATTAGTAAATTTCTTATAATCTGTGTCATTAGCCCAATTAGAATAGAGTATGCACAGAGATCGATCATGATGTGAATAAAATCTTCAAAATAATCTTTGGCATGGGAAATAAAGCAAACTATTAAAAGAAATTCATAAAATATTCTATTCATGGCGTGAAAAAAAAGGAAAACTTTCCTTTTAAAAATATATCATAAATGGTGTGAGAAAGGGATGTACATTTAAAGTATTTCCTTCCAATCATGGAAAGTGAAATCATAAATGATGGATCGGAGGAAATTAAGGATGGGTAACTTGACTTTTTTTTTATTTGAAGGATTGCTAATATAATGTGGTACACTAAATCCATTCATTAACAAAAATATAATTCTTTTCTTTATTAGTACTTGTCATATCTAGTAGATTAAATTATTTTTGGTAAAAATTGATGAATAGGAGGCCAAAAAATTAAATGAGTTTATATCTAAATTGTATATAATTGCTTCCATTTTGGAGAAGATGAGGTTCCCTAGCTATATAAAGGTACGTACTCATCCTTCATTTGTAAAAGCGGGGACTATATATATATATATGTGTGTGTGTGTGTGTGTGTGTGTGTGTGTGTGTGTGTGTGTGTGTTTGAAGAGTGAATTAAAAGATTTATTTTTTTGTGAGTTTTATACTTGTATGTGACTTATCAAGGTGATCCTTGTGGCGTCTCCCTTTTTTTTTTTTTTATCAAGATTGTTGTGGCGAGATTCTCTCTTATCAAGTTTCTTGTAGAAAAAAGAGCTAATCTTATCACCTTCCATGCATGAGGTGTGGCAAAATAATCTTATCACCTTCTCTAAGGTGTGGCAGATAAGGTATATTTTTAAAAAGAATGTTTTCCTTTTTATGTAATCAGCTTCTTCATTCTTGATTTAGATGCCCGAGTAGAAGAACCGTTTCTTTCTTAACTTGCAATCGTGCCTCTTGCTCTTATTCATTATTTCCTCCCATTCATATCTTTCTTCCTGTTTATTATTGAACAGAGATCTGTTATAGCAAGATTATATTATACTCCCTCCGTCCCAAAAAGTTTGTTACGTTTTGAAAAAACTGTGTCCCGTAAAGTCCGTTACATTTCTATTAAAAAATCACTTTTACCCCTTACTTTTTCATACTCTACCTATCACTTTTTTCTAATAATCTACCCATCACATCAAGGGTATTTTTGGAAAATCAATACCAAAATATCTCTACCTTAATTTCCCAAAAAGTCAAACCGTCCCATTCTTTTTGGGACGGAGGGAGTATATCTTGCAATTATTGAATGAAGAAGCTGATTTGCTTCGAAGAAGAAGAAGAGCTAGAATAAAGAGAAGTTTGAGAATGGAGGTGAAAAGTCAGACAAAAGGAGAGAGAGAGAGAGAGTGAGTGAGTTGGGAAAAGAAGAAGTTTGTAGTAATATTTCTTGATTTTATCTTGCAGTAGAAAGAGTTTTTATTTATACAAAAGGAATCCAAACAACTAACATACCAATAAACAACTACTTAACTAACTAAGTAAGCCTTAACAACCAACTAATAACCATCATTATCTACTATATTATTGCTCCCTAATTCAAAAGACTTGTCCTCAAGTCTTAGCTTGAAAACTTTTCAGCTGTTGCTTGTCCTCCTTAATCTACACCATTTGTATCATTTTGTTAAGGGTAACTAATGAGGTATACTAAATGCCAAGATCAAACACTCCCCTAACGGAGGTAGTGTTGTGATTTATTCAAAAACCTTGTTGAAGCCCCTTTGAAAGCCTTCATGCTTTTGAATCTTCTAGATTCATCATATCCAAATAATACCCTTTTTATCTACACCATCAGGATCAAATCCTATACAAGGATTAAACACCAACAAGCAGGATCATAAGTCTATGAGCTCTTCAAAGATTACTTTGAAATCTTTCTTCAAAACAATGTGTCACACTAAAAATCTCATTATTTGATTGCAACAAAAAAGAATAATTGAACACTTTTGTTGTCTTTCCTTCCACCACCTTCATGATATTATTTACCCTTACTTGTAATACAAAGGTTGTCTGTAACACTCCAACCCGCGTAACCCGAATACATGGCTCAGTGAATTGGGTTGTCATGAAGTTAGTATCCAAACAAACACATTTTTTAGCTAAATTAAAATTATTCATTTCAAAGTCCAGATATTTCCAAACAACTTAAGTATGTATCGGAGTTAATTTAAAATAATGCTGAAGCAGAATTATTATTTAACTATACATCGTTATGATATTATTAACATAAAACAATTCACGTTGGAAACTCATCATATTAATTATTTATTTAAATTCCTTCATCCGTACATCTCATCTTCCACGATGCCCTCCAGGATCAACTTGTCTTTGACCTCAATCTTACCTGCGTGCAGTCAAAACAACAACAATTGCACGCCCATCGATGAAGCTGAGTGAGAAATATCCAACATTAGAATATACATGTAGGATAGTTCACAATTATCACATGATATCATGCACACAAGCATCACATAAATAACGTCACAAGTATCACATAACAATATTCATCATTACAAAATATAGATATTACATTCTTGTTACTTTAGTCGTTTGACTTGTATTCTTTCTTGGCTCATAACCTATTCTAGGTTAAGACTTATTTGTTTATAACTTTCCTATGGAGTCATGACCTTCTTCTTCAAAAAGATGGTCAGGCCCAAACAAACTCAAGAGTTTCTCGTTGGGTTAATGAGATCCTTGTCCCCTTCGGAAGACATTTCATAGATCCTGATACATACAGTTTTACCCAAATAACCATTTGATTGAGCAAATACCACATGACTCTAACCTCTTTATACTTATGACATGACTTGCCTTTATTCCATTCAGGTCAATCCCAGAGTTCTTTTAGGTGGACTATTTCAACCATATAATTTCTTCAATTATAATTACATATCATATCTCAACAAGAATCAATGTCTCCAAGCAAAATCAACCATGACACAAACATCAACCTAGAGTTGAGAGTGAGCACTCAAGCTTACTGTCATGCAACATACAAAGTATCAGAGTGCATCCTCAACATTAAAAAAAAAGCTAAAAGTGGAACATCCATTCTTGGATGGTAGAGCTACCAACATAACGTTGGTCGGAAACATTCTACCGCCTGGCGACTGCACAGGTCAGAAATCCAATCCTTTAAGCATCAATTTGCTACAATTAACGCATATAACTCTCAACTATGTTCATAAGTAATATATACAAAATAAATTGATCAATTAACGCCTAAATCATGCGTTATACCCTTTTTGAAATAATGACAATTCGCAAAATTACAATTAAACAGTTCCAACAAGTATTTCACATAAATCAATAACGATAAACAAGTATTTCACAGAAGTATCTGATCACTAGTTTGTACACCCGAACAATGAAAAAGTGTTCTAAAGAAAAATTATGTATAGTTATTTTCCCCTAGAATATTTTTAAATAAAATATTTGGAGTAAAAGATAAGAGAGAAAAAAACAATTTTTTCTTCGTCCTAGTTGAAAGTGGTTTGGGAAGGAAGAAGTGAAAAGGGGAGGGATCACCTCCTATTTATAAGGAGCGGAATCCTCATTCATATTCTTCATAGGAATATGCCTTTTAAGGTTTAGGAAAGAAATCAAAACTTGTTCCCATTAAACTTGATGTCCAAGTTTCGAAATCCTCCTTGTGGAAACTTCCAAACTATTTTGTCAATTTTAATTATCATATAATTAACACAAAATAAAAAATATAACACTTTATATTATGTATTTATGCTGAAAAATATAAACATACATACATACATACATACACACACACACACATATATATATGTGTGTGTGTGTGTGTGTGTGTGTGTGTATCATTATAAACACATACATACATACATGGTCAGTGAGATGACGCCAAACTCACCCACCACATTACACTTCAAAGCTCACCAATGGCCAATGCAAAGCTCACCTTAAAATAAAGCAAAGCTCACAATTTTGAACACCAAAACTAACCATTTTTTTAAAATTTTAAAAATTTAAAAAAAGTAATTTAAAATAAATAGCAATTGTTGCAGCGTCCGGCGACCGGAGATCGGTGGAAGGGGCGGCAGGCGGCAGCGATGGCAGGCAGCAGGTGGCGGCGGAACAACGGCGTAATGGCAGTGGCTCGGTGGCGGCCAACTGTCAAAGTATAGTCAGCACCTCTTTGATTTTATTTTTTTAAAAAAATTCAAAGTGTTGAAAATTTATGGTGAGCTTTGTAGTTGTCGTTGATGCGCGTTACAGTGGTCTGTGGTGAGCTTTTGCGTCATCTGACCATATGTCATCTCACTGTAATGTGTCATCGGACTGGAGTAAATCATACATACATACATACATACATACATACATACATATATATATATATATATATATATATATACACATATAAAAAATTTTTCTCTCTCTAGGAAGCGGAGCACCCTTTGAGCATGCCGGCGACCTCCTCAGGTGGCAACTCTGGCCACCCTTCATCTTCATATCCAGCATCCAGCAAGCAGCAACACACTTCTCAGCCCCAACATCACCATGCCACAGCAACTCCCAAGTTCAACCAGCCCTCTACTGATGCAAACAACCTGCAACAAAGAAAAAGCTACGCTGCTGCCATCATAGCTTCTACACATGAGGTACCTATCCCCACCCTCCCTCTCAAACCTGTTGAAAAACTCAAAGGTTTACCATGTGTTTCCTTCTCTGAAGAAGAAGTAAAACTACTGGCCTCCAGATTTTCTAAGGCTTTAGTGGGATCCTTCTTCTTTGGAAGACCAAGCCTTGATTTTGTGAGACACAATCTAGAAAGAATAGGCTTCTCTGCTTTTTCTGTGACCCTCATTGATTCCACACATATTCTCCTTAACTTCTCCTCCCAAGAAGAATACCACAGATGTTTCAAGAGAAGGGAATGGACTCTAGGTTCATTCAAAATGTTTATTTCTAAATGGACACCATCATTTGACCCCAAATTCGAATCACCTATTATGCCTGTTTGGATTGGTATCAAGGACCTTCCTATTCACCTACACTCAACAGACTCTCTACTAAGAATTGGCCAAATCTTTGGCAAGCCTATTAAACTGGATACCACTACAGAGAACTTTGGCAGACCTTCTCTAGCCAGAATATGTGTTGAGGTTGATATTTCTCAACCTCAAATCTCTAAATTCTTCATCCAAAATGGGCAACAACAACTGTCTCTAGAAGCCATTTATGAAGAGCTTCCTACATACTGTCATACATGTAAAGGCATCTCTAGACACAATGGAGAGTGCAAGTCTCTGAAAAACAAGCAAGCCCAAGTTCCTAGCCAATCACAGGAAATTTCTAACCATGGCCGGAATATTCCCAAAAATCCCAAATCCAAAACAGTCACCATTTTCCAAAAGAAAACAGACAAAAATAGCCAGCCACCATGTTCTGATATACCTTCAACAAGTACATTACAATCAACCCAAACCCCACCATCTAGCCTGACACCACATACCCCACACACCCATAATAACAATCAATCATCCTCATACAGTAATCCCACACCCAAACAGAATGAAAAACCCATACAAGAAGGGCCAAAACACACATCTGTCAACACAACCTTTATGCCCACACAAAATGCCACCCCCACACACAACCAGGAAACCCCTAACCCAGAACCCACACACAACCAGAAAACCCCTAACCCAGAACCCACTCAGCCCACATCCAGTAACCAACCAATAGCCACAAGCCCATCTCATTACACAACCCCTAACACCACTTCAACAGAAAACCCCCAAATCCAAACAGAAATCCACCCCAACCCCAAAATACCTGAATCCCACACCCCAACTAACACCACAGCTGAACCAACCCCAACAGAAACCAACCATACCAGATCCCTCACAACCTCACCTTCAGAAAGTGAACTCTTACAAGCAATCATGCTGGATATCTCAAACATCTGCAAAACATCATCAGAAATAATGCCCTCAAAAGATGACTCATACATTCAGAACTCAACTTTAAAATTCAATGTGAATTATATAAGTGATTCTGAAACACATATACCTGAAGGTCCAGAAAGTCCCTCTTCTCCAACCATAAACCAGGAACAAAATGCCCCTGAAAATGAAGGATTCACAATTTTCAACACAAGGAAATCCAAAAGACTCCTTGAAAAATCCAAATCAAACAGTTCCTCACAAAACAGTCATCAATGAATTGCCTCTTTTGGAATACCTGTGGGATAACTTCTAAAAAGGAGAGGTTATCCATATTAGTCTCAAAACACAAAATTTCCATCCTCACCATCATTGAACCCAAATCCCATCCTAACAACCTCTCTAAACTTCTTTTTGATCTGGGTTTCTCCAAATCCATCCACAGCTCCAGCAACAGAATTTGGATCATGTGGAAGGAAGAACACCTGACCTACATCAATCACACAGATCAGGGCCAAATTCTCAATGTCCTCTTCCACTGCCAACAAACTAACAAAGATCTTCTTTTCTCAGGAGTCTATGGTAAGCACACCAGAGAGGAAAGAAAAGATCTCTAGGAAGCAATCACCAACTGCAATAAAAACAACCATGCTATCTGGATAATTGGGGGAGACTTTAATGCCATATCCTCCATAGAACATCATAAAGGTAGGAGCACCCCTTGCCTCAACAGTATCCAGGACTTTGATAACTGTATCATGGACAATGGGCTTTATTCCCCCCCCTTTACTGGAAACCTTTATACTTGGACTGGCACAAGATCCCTGGGGAGAATTTTGAAAAGGTTGGATAGAGTTTTCACTAACTCTATCTGCCAAAGGCATTATGATAGCATATCAAGTCAACACCTCTCAAGAGGAAACTCAGATCACTGCCCTATCCTAATTAATATGCACAACCCCACCTTCAATGGCCCTAAACCTTTCAGGTATCTTAACTGTTGGGCCAACCACCATTCATTCAGGAATATTGTCGAAGATAACTGGGGAAACTACAAGGGAGGTGGCATGAAAGGACTTATGGACAAACTATACAAGCTCACACCAATCCTACAATCTTGGAACAAGAACACCTTTGGTAATATTACATCCAAAGTGGAAGATCTAGAGATACAACTCCAAGAAGCAGAAAGCAACTTTGATGAAAATCCCAACATGGAAAACAGAACTCTCTTACATGAAACTAGAGCTCATCTGATACAAGCCACTAAAAATGAATTCCATTACTGGAAACAAAAAGCTGGAATCAAATGGCTCAAAGAGGGAGACTGCAACTCATCTTACTTCCATGCAATCTTGAAAGAAAAAAGGCATTTCCAGACAGTCCAAAGAATAAAAAACATAGAGGGCAAATGGATTGGTGATAATAAAGACATTCAACAGGAAGCTGTTAACTTCTTCAGTCAACTCTTCTCCTGGGAAAAGAGTGAAGGATATGACCAATTCCTATCAAATATCCCAACAATGGTCAGTGCAGATGACAACCAAACCCTCATAAATCTACCCTCCGAGGAAGAAGTCAAGGAAGCCATTTGGAACTTCGATCCAGAAAGTGCAGCAGGACCTGATGGTTTTACAGGAGATTTCTATAGACAATGTTGGGATATTATCAAAGTTGATGTAACAAGAGCTGTCCAGGAATTCTTTTTAGGAATCCCCATTCCTAAAAATCTAGTCAAATCTACCATTATCTTGATCCCCAAAAAAGATAATCCTACCACTTTTGAGGACTTCAGGCCCATCTGCTTATCCAATTTTATTGCTAAAATTAACACAAAAATTATAGCAATGAGGCTAGGTAAGCTACTGCCTAATTTAATCTCCCCAGAGCAAGGAGGATTCATCAAAGGAAGACAAATTCATGATCAAACCCTAACAGCCCAAGAGCTAATCCATGGCATCAACTACAACACAAGAGGGGGAAACCTAGCTATCAAACTTGACATGTCTAAGGCCTTTGATAGAGTTTCTTGGGACTTCTTAGAGCAGATTTTGAGGAAATTTGGCTTCTCAGAAAGGTTTATCAACCTAACCCTTAATAACCTCAGTCTACTACCCACTCTATTCTGATTAATGGCTACCCTAGAAAATCCTTCCAGCCCAAAAGAGGTCTCAGACAAGGAGACCCCCTCTCTCCTCTTCTTTTCATCATAACAGCAGAGAGCTTCAGCAGAACCATCAAACACAAAACCTACCAGGGGACTCTAAGCCTATACAAAATGGGCAGACATTACATACCAATCACCCATCTAGCTTTTGCTGATGACCTACTGATTTTCACCAATGGTGCTGCCAGTAACCTTGCCAAATTCTCAAACTTTCTGAAGGATTATGAAAGAGCTACTGGACAGAAAATAAACCTCCACAAAAGCTCTTTCTATACCCCTGACAAAACTCCAACAATTCATGCTATAAAAATGGGGAAAATTCTCAACATGCAAAGAGGTCAATTCCCCTTCAAATACCTGGGCACTCAAATTCACAGAGGTATAAATAGAAAGAACTGCTGCAATGATCTGCTCAATCATTTCGACAAGAAATTACAGGGATGGACTAAGAAAATGTTATCCCAAAGTGGAAGGCTAGTTCTCATCAAACATGTTCTTAGTGCCATCCCCCTCCACACCCTTGGATCTACTAACCTACCCAAAAGTATCATCAACTGCTTGCAGCAGAAAATGAGTAATTTCCTTTGGGGATCCAAAGATGAGCACCTAAACTATCATTGGAGCTCTTGGAAAGACATCTGCAGACCCAAAGAGGAAGGGGGACTGAATATTACCCATATTGAAACCTTACAGATGGCTTATGGTCTCAAAATGTGGTGGAGTTATCTGAACAATAACTCTCTTTGGGCAGACTTCATGCATCACAGATACCCTCACAGCTTCAACAACCCCCCCAAACTTGTTGACTCTCCAACCTGGAAGAGACTGCACCGCATTCATGACAAAGCTATCAACATCATCAACCTCAACAATGACAACCAACCATCCTGGGATGATGGTCAAACCGGCTTCAGCCTAAAGAGAGCTTACAATGCCTTGAGAGAGAAACACCCCACTCACACCTTTCTCAAACACTCATGGAACTCTATACAGTATCCTAAGATTTCTCTTTTTCTCTGGAAGACCTACAAAAATATTTTGCCTTTCACTAACAACCTCACAAGATTTGCAGTTACTCTGCCCTCTATTTGCTTTTTATGCAGGAAAAATATTGATGAACAGAATCACACACTCAAACAATGCAGTTTCAGTAAACAAATCTGGACACACTTTGAGGAACAATTCAAAATCCCTAGAAGTACCTACCACTCACGGGATATGCGCATACCTCATGACATGGTGGAAGGATCATACAAGAAACAGCAATCCACAAAAGCAAATCGCACCAGGAATCATAGCATTTGAAATCTGGAAGGAAAGGAATCGAAGAAAACATCAAGACGAATCAAAAACAACCTCTCAGATCATCCAAATCATCTGGAACAAGATAATCGAATGGACATTAGGAAAAGGGAAAGGGAAAATTTCTCTCAACCTTGAATACCCCCTCACACAGAAACAGACCATCCGAATCTTCAGGTGGCAAGCAACCAACACTACGGTGA